CAGCAAAGGGTGGAACAAAGAGTACAGAACAAACTACCAGCAGAGAAACTGGAGGAAAGAAAGGAAGGGGCAAGGAGAGAGGAGGTGGTTCCCAACCAAGCGAAAGGCAGAAGCGAAGGAAACAGAGATGAAGGGGAGAGTAGGAACTAATGCAAACTTTGATACAGAAAAGAAAGCAGCATAGAAGACAATAACACCGAATAAAGTGTATAGTCAGGATCGAAAATTTGGGGCAACTTCCTTTCTACGATTTCACGAAGATTTATGATGAGACATCCTTTTGAACATATGCATAACTCTTCTTCGATGAGAAGAGTTGTGCATAACATTTCAAACATTCTCCGCTAGAGATTTAGGAAATATCCCGAACGGAAGATGGCAGTCTAGCTAAAAGTTGAATGAGGGAAAATCACCTAATTGTCTTGAATATCTTGAGATTGCAAAAGTGGGTCAAATCCATGACTAAATCTGATTCTGATGTACTACTGTTGTGAATTTCAGTTACGCCATTACTTACAATCGCAGTCTTTTTATGCGAACTAGAGAATACTGTCTCCATGTTGAAAATCGAACTTCCAGCCACAATCAATCGTCTCAATACTTGTCTTCTCGCGATTTTAACCAGGACCAGGAGCAAGCGCTGGATCCGAGAATCACATAATGCTGATCTTCGCATGGTGTTGGTGCAACGTACGCAGGCAAGCAGCTGCTCGAACTATCAGATCGATAGTACGTTCTAAACCTCCTCGTGGCTGGTTTCGGGAATGCCATCGATCGTATCAACTCCAGCCAAGAGTTAATTTGACCTGAGGCCAGAATGCTTCCAGATCAGAGTCCGAAATTCCATTGATCGCGACAGACCTGGCTCCGCACCGAACGGTTTGACTGGAATGAGATTCCTGGACTGTGAAAATTCAAGAGGTAGATGGTGGAAGGATTGGCTCTTGTTCATCTGAAAATTCACCAAGCCTCTGACGACGAGGAACGACTCTGCGCATATCACGGTGGCCAGATTACAAACACCATCACGGTGGCCAGATTATTAGTGTGAGGGGGATGGACGCCGCCTGGAAGGAACTCCTGAAAACACCGAGCGTGTTCGAAGCGGGCCAGTGGCGGGCGAAGGCTGGACGAGCGGGAGCTTCCTGTGAATTCTCGTCCTAATGACGGTGGCCTTCATCAGGCTGATTACGAATCACGTCTTCGGCCTTCGCTGGATCTGAGCAGCGCCTTATGGGACATGTCTGCAAAGTCATAAATCCTGATCAGCTGCTCGAACTGAAATTTCCACTGGCCTGAAGACCATCAAGGGAACCGATGTCGTTCACGATCTACATGTCTAAGAATGATGATTCTGAAAGATTTGTGTCACGAAAATGAACGCCCGATATTCGCAAGCTTGTGCAACTCGAGGCAAGGCCAGGAGCAGATAAGTGCTGCGACTCGATTTTGCTGAGTTTCTGGTGATTGCGCTTTGAAGTCAATTTTACTTAATTATACATTCTTTTCACATCAGATATCTCCATGCCTGAAGATTATTGTATCACAACTTGTTGTATTGTACTCTGAATACTAAACTATGAATTTACACTTGCATATGGGCACAATAAAATCATAACTTGCTCTTATTAAGACTGAAATCTAAATAATGAAATTTCACACAAGTCTTTGTAAAAATAAGTGATTTGTTAGTAATTTTGAATTGAAAATCTCACACCATCCAAAACACAAATCTATGTATAAATTATCATTTATGTTCAGCTTTGGTTTAAGATCGGAGCATAAATCAATGATTGATTTATGCTTTGGTCATAATGAAGATAAGTAATAAAGATTTCAACTGATTTTTTCATATCTTTTTGGGAAGAATCATACTCATAATTTTAATTACATTTTCATCTAAAATTTCTAAAATACGATTTTCTATCAATTCTTTTTTCCGATAAAATGGTTCTATAACGTTGGAGTCATTATAATATCATAAAGTAAAATATTTCAACCTGAAAAAATTTAAGATTTAGTGTTAAAGACAATCTGATCTTGAAGATGAAAATGTAAGTTTATTTCACATATAAGATATTGATATTGAATAATATTCTCAGTAATGGTGCACAAGTAGGCCCAAAGTTATATTTTTGAATTTTTAAATGAAATTATCATTAGAATTCTGTGTATATTTCTCAGAACAAAGTAATTCACCGTTTTTCTTCTAATTGATAATCATATATTTCTATTGATATTTATCTTTAATTTTTTAATTTGAATTTTCTTTATTTTTATGCATTGATAATTTGACCATATTAAATTGTGGAAAAATTATTGCAAAGATATCCAAAGATGTGATACGAAATGAAACATTGATATGAAGTGAAACAAAGATGGATTGGAAATAATTGATACATTGCCAAGTATAAAAATTTAAAACAGAAAAAAATCCAAAAAATATAGTAGAAATAGAAATAAATGAAAATTACAGAAAATTCAAATGGGCAATAAACAAAAAAAGCAGTAGGAGTGTATGAATAGAGATGAGAAGAAAAATGGTGACTAACAAAAATTTGAGGTAATGACACGATGAGGATAATGAATAAAGTCGAAGACAAAGATAAAGATGACAAAGACAAATGATAGGAGGATAATATAATATGTTAGTTAAAAGATCCAATTATAGGTATCAAATATACACAGGTCATCAAAATTCACTGGGTCTGTATTTCTTATTCCTCATCATAACTGCAATCTCAATTTCACAAACAACACTTGAATTAATCTTTTACTCTCAAGAGCCCTAGTTCTCAAAAGTCCAAAACCCCAATTAGTGCCCAATCTGCTATACCTGATCTTGATAACGCGCATCTACTAAGTAAATATGACTCCACTCGCTGAAGACATGATTACACAAATTCCCAAAAAAAACATGTATTTGGAATCCTTGGTTTCTAATTTTCTGAATTATTGCCAATGCTGGTGTATTCATTGATCAATCATTGAAGTCGGTGCCACGCCGCTGCATACATTTCATGCTGGGTGTTCTTACTATATATGGAAAGATTCTATCGACAGCGTGACTCCCCAAGCTTTCGATTTTCATAATTCAGGTATTCGTCACTCACTTATTACCTGCGCTTATGGGATAAATATGTATCGAAGCTTCCCACAGTGATTTGTTGTCCCTTCCTGGCATGCTTGTGAGATTTTGAAATTCACACAACAGCGACAGCTGTGGACCGAGGACAGCTAATGTGTTCCACAACCCATGGCAGGAAAAGTCTTGTGAATTTGTCGAAACTGGGATAATCTAAACGATTTTGAAGAAGTCATTTGTTGTACACTGGTCCCGAATGATGAGGACTGTATGAGATTCAGAACCTCGCGCGCATACCAAAGAGACATGGTTAGGATTTTGGATTCAGTGCCATCGTCAACTTACGCGACAAGGTGCTGATACTGTAGTTTTCCAGTTCCAGTCTCGAGTCTCGAGAGCGCAGAACTGCGATTTCACGTGACTCGGGTCCCGTCTGACTTTTGCATTTTAAAAATGGAGGAACAGCACCTTGGATCTATCAAAGGTGGTGTTGACCTCTGACCGTTAGAAAGAATAGAAGCTCCAGGCCGCCGGCCACAAATTCACAAGGCTTCTGTTCTCTGTCATCTCTCTTATTTGTTACTGAAATTTTCGCAGGAGGGAGAAATAATATTACTCTAAAAAGTGTGTTATTCGATACGTTTTTCAATTTTATGACGAGAGCTGATCAGGTTCATGTTGAGCAATAAAGACTTTGCTTTTAACAGTCACCTGCTTCACATTTTCAATGCATTTGTGCATTATTCCCCACCGCCCCACCTTCTGCCTTACCTGTAGTTCGCTGAAATTCATCAGATTGAATAAATGGTTCGCTGACACATCTCTCACTGCCCATCTCGCTTTAGCATCATGAAATTGAAGCATCAGTTTTCATAAATAATCTCATTCCATATTGTACAGCTTAGATATTGGTATACAGACGGGGCACTTGATTTTGATTCTGAGTGTACTATCTACTTTTCGTTCTTCGTTTTAGATCTAAAAGCTGAAGAGAGGAAAAGTACACCTTTTAGGATACGCAAATGTCCTCACATCTATAGTTATGGTCTATTGTCCTAGTGAATGAGCCAAGGTTGTTAGCCAGTATATTTAGGTAATAGTGAAGGAATTTTGGGTAAAGTTTGTATAGAATCCTTATATCAAAATCAAATGCTTGAAAAGTAGAGGAATTACGACTTTTTCACGTAGGAATAAAATCTAGGTGGTATCTAGGCGGTAAAATCTAGGAGTAAAATCTAAGAGCTACTTTTTGACACGAGTCAAAGTGGAAAATATATAGTGTGTTTCACTTGAGAGTATTTCCAACATATTTTATCACACGTTTCTATACGTAAAACTTGTAGGTGGTTTTAGAGTGAGATGAAAAGTGATATTTTTCAAAAAAATAAACAACATTTTAGGATTTTTGAAGAAAGTAGCGTTTGATATTGTTCACACTTTATGTGATTGATAGACTGATTGACTGACAATGACAAAAATGTCAATGTCAATTGTCAACGTCATTTTTTTTGAGATACAAGATGAGTTCATTTTGAGACCAAACAGCTAAATTCTGACACAGCATGGGAAACCATTACATCTTCATGTTGATTTTTTTCAATTGAGGCTTAAGCACACAAAATCCGAATACTTATTGAAAATAGTCCATAAATAAGGTGATATAGTCAAAATAGTATATATTTTTTATGAAAGCAGTTGACCAAATACATGGAAAATACAACAAAGTCGTACTTGGAGGAGACCAATGTGAGAATAGATTGAGTCGCAATCTTCTGTAGTGAAAATAACACATAGTTTATTGTTTAGTTTAAGAATCGATTCTTTACAAAGACACAAAACAAGAGCAACACAGAGAATCATAACGAACTAAACGATATCTCTTCATCAAGTATTTTTATTTTGAAAAAAATACTTACAGCTAACATTTACAGATATCTTACCTTAACAAATCTTTACCCTCATGAATAATCTTTTTGTGAGTATTTCGAGATGATTTCTACACACAGAAATCATCTCGAAATATTTACAGCTCAGACTTGTACTACCTTTGATAGGTTTGGGGTTTTACTCTCCTCTCTAACATCTGCAATCAGTGTGGAATCTATTAAACGTGTTTTCTCTCCATATCTTACATGTAAGCCTGCGTGCAACGATGAGCTGCACAATGAATTTTTGTATCGTACGCATCTATGCGTTTATCGATTGTATTCTATGGTAAGACTAGCCTGGAATTTGTTTTTGCTTGACCTCAAAACTTATAAGCACCTTAGATCACAGTTCGTCCAGAAACAGTTCGAAATTCAGAATTTGATGGCGGTCATTGTGATATATACGCTCCATGGAAGCCGTAGGGTACTCTGTGTGGCAATCGTATTCTTGCTACTGGTTTCTCCTCGAAGCGTTGCGCATCTACTATAATCATCTGTGTACAGCAGAAATGGGTCAATAAAATTCCTTTGATGACAATTCATCGACGTGTTCAGGCAGCTTCTAGATCTCAACTGAGAGATTCAGAATCAGCCCCTATGGGTGAGTACATTGAATTTCATAAGCTTTGAACTCACTAAAGCGGTGGAGATCTTGAGTTGTGATGTGTTCATCGGATTTGCCAGTCTTAATTCAATGAGAGAATCTTACATCAGAAACATTAGTTGACTCATTATGTACATATGTCACGATCCAACCGTCATCTTCTTGAAGAGAACCCGGTCTAGCCACGAAAACAGGTTCTGAACAAAAACTGTTCTCTCCCACATCATGAAATATAGCCTTCACAATAGAAGAAAATTTGATTAGTCTACATTATCACGTTCCAGCATAGAGAAACTAATTTCAGTAAATATCACATCGAGCCTATTACATGAAATGTAAACAAGGTGTTTACCATATGGTTTCCTGCCGGAGATACGTCAATTTTGACCAATTTTTTAAACATAGGATAGCCTGCAAGTTATGACATTCTTGGAGATTCAGTACATGATTTCAAGAACTGATTTAATTTGATAACAAATACTTTTTCTTCAACACAAAGATCAAAAGAACACGAACTTCATAATATTGTACGAATGAGACTAGTTTTCTGTCTTACTGAGAAAAATTGAAGAAATTCAGAATGTCAGAAAAACGTACCTACAGCCTTGCTGGCCTCAAGATCTTCAGAGCAAGCATAAATGTAATTATATTTTTTGCCGTTAAATCGATCGTTGATTTTTGGAAGCTCTAATGGAAATTTATTTTGAGTTATGTTTCTCTCAACTACAGCTCCTGCAAATGATAAACATGGAAATTGTCACGATTGGATTATACTCAACAAAATTAGAATAGAACCTAAGCTGGTTTTCCCTGTAAAATATATCAGCAAGTAGTCAGTCACAGATATACGTTCTGGTTAAAAAATTGCAAAGAAAAGAAATTTGAAAGTAATAACTGGTAAACTGTTATGAGAAATGTTTGCCTGAACATACCTGTTCTGAGATTAAGCCTCCACTCATGCAAATGCTCATACAACAGTCCATCTACAGACGGATCTTTGGTTTCAAAATAATTTTCAGTGTCAAGAGTCATTCCCCTTGAATACCATTCGACTTTATCGAATTTGGCAGGAACGGCTACCAATTGAATGAGTTGTGTACACAAACCATGCACCACAATCTGTGGAAGACAACGATACAAAAAGATTTAATACACTTCAGAAAACTCAAAGGAGGATTTCATGAGAAAGCTAAGCATGTTTGAAAGTTGGCAGTTTATAGAAACGTCGAATCTACAATTGTATGACATGTACAAACTTTTCCTGCACGTGTATAATGAATATATGGTTTCTTCTCACCTCATCTCCATCTTGGTAACTATTACAGTGATGGGAGATGCATGCCGTTTCTACATCAAACCACTTGATTGATTTGGAATTTCCTGTAAGAGGCAGCACTCCTAATCTCGAGTATTTGGTAGGATCGAATGATACAATTCTGCCCATCAGTGACAATATATCAGTCCATGGAGCAGATATAGAGGTATGCAGAGTCTCAGAAAGTAATCTAGAACACAGGTTGCTGGGATCATGAGCATATGTTTGTCTATGTTTGAAATTCTTGGCAAATTTTTACTTACGATCCTCCGTTCACAAGCATGTTGGCAAGATCCATCATAACCGGAAAATCGTACAATATAGCGTGCCTGCACAGTCACAGGACGTGGAAATACAGTTAACTTGAAGTCTCGCCTGAAAGACCGAAGCCAACTTCAGAATCTACATCATACAGCAGAGCCTGTTCAAAAGACACTACGTACCGTTCTGTGATTCCGATGTCATGCATGAGAACAAGCCTGTCCATCCCCAGATCTACTTTATTCGCAAACTTTTTGCCATCACCTTCAGGAGCCAATTATTGTAAAAGTTGTTAGCAATTGAGGCTGATTTGGCACCCATCATCTACAAACTGAATGGAGACTGGAAATTTGGACTTTGCATAGGTCCTAGAATAATAATATCTGATGCGTATGTTTGTTGCATATACCTGACAGAACACCCAAGACGTAATACGGAGGAATAATATCGAAGCCGAACACCACCAATTCCCCTGTATCGGGATGTACCTGAATGCCAATTGCACAGGAATTAATAATTTTTAAAAACAGTCGAAGTATTATTTGTAGAACAGTGAAGAAATCATCACTCTGAGTTGTTTAGCTTCAGAATCAAAGCAAAAAACAATGTGGGATACTTGAAGGGACTAACTTTAGGATGAGGACCGAAAAATCTGCGATTCCACTGCCCATCACAGTTATATTCCCCCTTCGTACTCAAGTCCGATATATTGATTTCATAAGCCTTGGCACCCTCTGCAGCTGCTACCACATGCCCTGCATGCTGAAATACTGAAGTGTTTCCGGGATTTCTTTGTGGCGCTCCGTACCTTATCTGAAATGTTCATCAGCTCAACATTTCAGCTCTTATTGAGATCATGATTGGATTTAGAGCTGTAATGCTTCTAGACTTCTCGCAAGACGTTGACTTCAATTCTGGATTTGTCTCTTAGTCGATTTTGGGAGCATGTATGATTGCCATGAAGTCCTAAAGGATCGTAAAGAGCAGACATGATTGCCTTGAAGGAATTAACCAAATTATTGATTCGATTTGTAGCTTAATGGAATTCAGGAGCAGACATGAGTGCCATGAAAGATAAAAATGTTCCCTTACCAAATTAATTATCCGATTGAATCGTAGTCCTGGCGTAGACTTCTCGTCCATTGTGGGGAGGTACACTCTCTTTCCCAATTCCTTCTCCATCTTAAAGCTGTCTGTTTCCACGTACTTGTTTTTATACCATATGCTTCCATCTTTCTCGATGTATGTCGCATGAAGCATTCCCTCTCCCTCAAACCAATTATAGTATGTTTTTCCACCGAGAAGTGGCGAATCTAAGTTCTGATAAGCTCCAAATCTTGGATTGGGTCCTGCGGATATTCCAGCAGATTCAACGAGGAAGTTAGCTCACAGTAGTATGACTTTGCTTGATGTCTCTAAACAAAAAGATTGGCCCTCATATCATGTCTCCACTCTGAATTTAGCTTAGATCGGAAAACCAAAGTCGACATTTCTTCAGAAAGTCTTTGCCACCGAATTTGGAAATAAATATAGATCAGATTCTTTCGTAATCCTTGAAAATCGTAATTCACTGTTGACTACGTTCGAAATATGTAATCGAATCTTATCAATTATTGAACAAGAGTCATATGAGGAGAGGAGATATTGACTTGTCTAACATGGAAGGCTTTGACATCCTTTGAGTATGTAGGAGCTTACCATTTCGAATGAAGCAACCAGGAGGAAAGTCCTCTGGAATGTGTCCTTCTAGAACGTGACATCTGACCTTCTCAACAATCTCATCCACCGGTGCAAAATTTCCCTGATTCAATGAATACCAATATATGTAAGAACTTATAGAACCAACAAATCCTCTTGAAATCCAAACACCTTTCGGCAATATATACGAAGCAGCTGTTTAAGTGAGCGACGGTGAGTTCGATTCAAAAGCAATGAAATTGTTCCAATTGAGTCAGCAGTAATCACAGCTAGGGAGGACAGCCACATCTTCCAAATAGGTGCGGGCACCTTCATTCATCCGTTAGTTATATTATACATTTCGACCTCTGAATCAGAGTCATCATAATCTCACCTTTATGAAAGGGACTGGCTCGTCTGATGGTACGAATAGCTGGTCCACAATACTAGTCATAGCTAGCTGATAAGCACTTAGCAATTGCTTCCCCGCCACCTCGACAGTTTCTTTCTGTTCTTGGAACCACTTCTGTAGTGGACAGAGAAACAACATGCACCAATTCAATACAAGGCAGCTTGATTATATATGTGATTGCAAGCATTCATGCATTTCACGTAGAAGGTCGATCAGAGATACAAAGCAACTGCGAAGCAATGCTCCTCGCCGGATTAGGTGCTCTTTCAAACACCTGCAATCCTTTTAATGTTTATAAATTTCTCTCCTGGGTGGTATGCTGTCGGCATTTGACCCTTTATCCTTGCTCTTGGCGACTTTGATACGCACACGATTGTGAACAGGAACCTGCCAGAGGAGAATGTGCAATACCTTCAACTGCACTAAGACGCGTACTGAATTTCGGTCAAGTCCAGCGGGATATTCCGAATAATGGGTCCTAGGCACGTTACGTCTCCCATCGGTAGTTGCCACATCATTGATTTCCCACTGTTCTACGTCAAACAAAGATGTTTCTGAGGGATGAATCTTGTTCTGTGGTTGTATCTTCTGAACTTGCTTCTGTTTCAGAGAGCAACATGAAACGGATCAGATTCAGTGACACCAATGTGTCGACTGGACATGACAGCATTCATAAATGTGAAGATAATAGGCAGAAGATGAACAAATTAAGCATACTAGTTACCTTGGATGATTTCGATTTCTGACGGATTATACGACGTTCTGATGGTTGCGGAACGACAGCTGCATATCTCACGGCATGGTGATACCCACATTGTGAAGTTCCATGCGTGTTACCAAGACATCTGAACGTTGTGCTTGCAACGGAAGCCATGGACTAGATTACCACCTCGGCTGTAATCAATTATAGAACTCGCAGTGGCCTCGAATCTGCTCGTTGTACTTGCACAAGCCTGGTGGAGATGAAGATACTCGTCTTCGTAGTTCAGATTAACACCTCGTTAACTCACTCTCGTGTTTTATCACCAAGATTCTGAGACTGTCAATTTCTGGATCATAAGCCTGGTGGAGATGAAGTCACTCGTCTTCGTACTTCAGATTAACACCTCGATATCTCACTCTCGTGTTTTATCACCAAGATTTTGAGACTGTCAATTTCTGGATCATAAACCATGTCCTTGGCATCAGTCGTGTTCTCTAAGGACTGCGACAAACACTGGATGAATTTGACAGCCTTGACTCGCAATGAGAACGAAAGTACACTAGAACAGGCTAACAACATTGAGCCGAACTAATGTCATTTGTCCTGAAATCCAATTGGCGAGTCTATCAGTCAAGAATTTAGAGAGTGTAATGCTCGTGATGGTACCTGTCAGCACCCACTGCATCGATTTTGAAGTCTACTACATTACATATACTTGATCTCTCACTTCAGCCGCTGAGAGCGTTCCAACAGGACGGGAGGAACTGGATGCCTCTTTGTGTCTCTCCACTGCTCTATCGGGAGAAGTCGAAGAGAATTTTCTACGTACTGCTGCCGTCTGGGAGTGTCATTTATGTTCCTGCGTGCTTGAGGCGGCTGGCAGTAAAGCACGTGCAAGTTCAGAAATAGAATAATCATTTTGGCATGACTTTTTTACTAGCTGTCCCAAGGAGAGTCTGCCTTTGGCGGACCAGCCGCCATATTCAGGGCAGAAAATTTGATTTGGGAAGTGATGGCTGTAATTGAAAAGTTTCAGGTATTTTTTCTCGACTAACTAACATAAATTTGTTATTATTCAAGCATAAAAACCATTCAGTCGAAATTTCACGAAGACGTTTGCACTATCTGGGGAGAAAATATAGATTCAGTTTCTTAAGGAAAGAGTACAAGTAATGCAGAAAGAAAGAAGTACGGGAATACCCTATCAAGCGTGACAGGGAATAATCGAAAGTGGTAAAATGTGTCAATGATGCAATAGGATCACAATGCCAAAATATAATATTATAACAAGTTACTGCTGCAACTAAGATGAAAACTTTTGAAAGTGATGGTATATATACATAAACGAAAATTAGTAACACATGTATATGTGGATGTCATTCATATCAGTCCAAAACGAAAGCAACAACAATCTGCTTAGAAGGTTAATTGAAAGAATCTCATTATAATGTACATTATTGACGTCATAATGCGAAAATCCATTGTGATAGAAGCACCACAAACCTGTTTGAGTGAAACATTAAAGACTATCGTGGCAAGAAAATAGAGAAAAACCTGAGTTAGGAGAAACATACCAAGGCCTAGACATTTTTAAGGAGAGAATGACATTTTTATGGACAGATAGGGGAAATTATAAAATATGGTAACCCGAAATCACGTAACACTGAAACTAGTCATGCGGGATATGCCGCGTCACTAGTTTACGCTGGATATGGATAGAAGGAAACAATACCAGTATTTTCAACCTCGTGTAAGCCATTGTGATTGTGGAGTTAAAGTTTTAAGAGCCGGTTCTGGATCTGCTTGGAACTTCACGTTCTTCTCTCACTCTGAATTGGCAGATCGCGATCAAGTGTCTCCAACTGTTGGAAAGTTGATGTGTAGAGTAAAACAAAATCTTGGCTCATCTTATGGTAAACTTACAAATCACTTTACCTTAGAATCTAAGGTAAAGTTTAAGCAATCTAAGGCTTATATTGCTTAAAATTTTAAAAAAAAATACGTGCAGTTTTTCATAGTGATTGCATACATGTCTTTTGGGATTTGTGGCGATAAGAAATGTAGCAGACAAAGTATGCCATTATAATTATATATGGAGAACTCACTCTTTTTTCACTCTATTTTCACTCTAGCGCTAGAGATATATGGTGTAATCAACTCCTTTTTGACTTGTAACTCATAACTGCAGGAATATATATTGTACTAGACAGAACAGATATATAATTTATATCATATATAAAAGAAGTCTTAAAAAAATATGTTACCTAATATGATAAATACACAATTAATCGAAGTATATTATTCTTTCTTCAAATTTTCATTTTGATTGTAGATTATTGATTAAAATATTTTACATATTGAAACGAAAGAATCACAATTTGCCCATCATCAACTTATGCTTAATGCGGAAAGAACGCTCATTTCCGCGACTTTTGAAAAAAAACATAATCAATAAGCATCTTAATTTCATACTCAGTACATCAAGATAAAGAATTAGATTAAGTATCATCTACGGGCTCTTAATGACCGAAAATCTAACGCAAGCACATCTAATATCATGTAATTAGTATAATTTCTCGAGAGGTCCTTCTATGTTTTTTAAATAGTTCTAGGCATGACTTTTCTGAAGTCTGATATTTCAAATTGAGAATCATCAGGAAACCAAAGTCGAAGCTCAACGCCAACTAGTAGGATCCTCAGAGTTGCTAAAATCTCTTCCATCAATTGCTTTTTATTTTTTTATGAGGCGTCAATTAAGAAAGAGTTACAGGTAAACTATACTCTAATTTTATGCATTCAATGGAAAACAATTTGAAAACTGGCAGTTCATTCAGTTTGCACGCTAAAAACACTATTGTACTCCTAGAAAAATAGTGCAATGCTTTGTATTTTGTGAATAAGACACTTAACAGGAGGATAACAAACTCCTTTAACAACTCATCCATTTAAGTACAATGAATAGTCCGAACTATAGATGTAACAAAGTCTCGACCTTGAGTCACAAAAATCAGATAAAGCTGATCACTCGTAGAAATCAAACACAACTTTTAACGTGTTCGATTTCTACGAGAGTGATCAGCTATAAAGTTGTAAGCCTAATCTCAGTCTCTTAAAATAGTAGTTTTACAAATGGTAGCATAGTCGTTAGAACAAACATGCGCATATTAAAGCAACATTCCAAAATTTCACCATAGACGTTCAAGAAGAATCTTGTACTCAATGTCTTGATTATCATACACAAAATGACAAGGATAAATGTCGCCTATGTGCTCAATGTGCAGAAACGAGCACCTTCATGAGCAAGCAGTCTTGCTCATGTGAAATGGGTGACTATCACAGCCACAAAAAATTGCATGTCTTCCATCGACATAAAGGTAAGCATTTCTTCTTTTCACATGGCGGGGTAACTACTGCAATGAAAAGCAGGAGTAGGTTTAATGACATGATGACCAACAATGTTCCACTTCCTTCCATAGTCAATTACATCTTAAAAATGTCTTACATGTCTGTTAAATTTGAACAAAAAATTTACACTTCATCTCACAGCGTTTTTATTGAAAATTGTCAATTTTACAACACTTCTTCTATTTGGCAAGAATACTTTTAGTACCATCAAGAGTTTCATAGAACATAACGAAAAAAGTACTAGTGGCAAGCCCATTGATTGTGGCTCCAACTGATGACTGGTAGATCTGCAATCAAATGGCGAGGAGGTCATTCGCAATATTGTTAAGTTAAAAAATTTATAAGATTTTTGAATTTTTTCCAAATTTTTTCCATATTTGGGAAGAGTTTATTTGGCCACAACTTTACTTTATACCAGAAAATATAGCATAGAGTCAACTTATATAATAACATACCAGAAAATCTTGAAAGCACAGAAACATTAGCTATGTGGAAGACCACCGCGTCATGCATGGGGGCATAAAGTAGTTGCCGACGAATGTATAAGTTTAAACATTTATATGACTGCTCCAAATATTCAGGAGCTCGACGTTTTTATTAAAGTAGTCGCTGTTCGAATAAAAAAAGGATTTACACCACAAACGTAAACTTTATCTCCCAATATCGGAAGATCTGTATATCTTTGAGCAGGTAACCAGCCTCAAACATAAATAGACATCCATAAAAAATGATTTCCATTTCCATAAAGAGTCGAATTTTTATGTGTATGATAATGAAAACATTGCCACAAAAACAACTATATGAAACCTTCCAAAAGAATGAAAAAAATAAAGTCATCAAAATCCAACATTCTTGGAATAATCATGGGAACTAAAACACACTTTAGAAAGTACATTTCAGTATTGACTTCAAATGGTCACATGCCAAATGAGCCCTCCACAAATTAAAGGCTACCCTAAATTTCCTTTCATGTCCTTGAATCATGAAAAAATATTTCACTTCGAATGATTGGAGTTCACCACGAGATGTCTGGAGAGTCACAGAACTTTGGTGCTTGGACCCGACACACATGATCTGGCCACATGCTAGAAACTAGAGATGCCGCGGGATTCATGAGTTGGCGGGTCTTCGAGTAGGGAGGCCGGCTATATTACAGTATTAGGAATTTAGGCGTTAGACGGAATGCGTCTGATGTGATCACCGAGGTCCGTGTGAAACTGCCTCAAAGACCAGAGATCTAAAACACGTGCGATATATTAGAAAACGTGACACTGCTTATATCTGGCGTCGCCATCAACCGCAGAGAATTTTTCCAACCACAGAGACTTTGGCTGACAGCGTTCTCGATCTACATCGCGTCTCACTTTCGTCCCATGAGGACGACATGAGGACGACCTGCGACACGCTTTCACGTCATGGGAATAATTGGCCAACAGTATAAAGAGGCTTAAAGTGTTAAACTATATGTGGAGTCATAGCGGAGAATTGACAGCTTGTAGGTTGGACAATGGAGTACAAATCTTTGCGCGTTCGAACGAACGAACATTGTTGCAATTTTGGCATGGCTACGTACAGTACTGCAACTACCAGATGTGGTCGGTTAACAAAACTCTGAACCCGGTCCTGAGGTTGAGTATAGGATCACATGTACTTTTGACAAAATTGTTACTAATCCATTTTCTGGGAAAAATGCAAACCTTAACCATTGTAAAACAGAAACCTTGTATTAATCAACTAATACTGTGGTTTCTTGGGACTTTCCGTTGCTTGTCCTTTCAGCAGAAAACCATAGCTATTATTATTTATGGCGATCTTTTTCTGCATGCCGAGCCTTCCATTTGGACTCTACGGACTCCGTAGCAAGAGTTGTAGCCTCTATGGTGAATGATGAAGGCAATTCCCAACGAGTTATTTCAATCGTTGCGATAGCCCAGAGGATTTAAAAAAGGGGTGACCCAATGGGCTCCCGGTCTTCCGGTCGTCTTTGGGTCGTGAGATCGCATAAAATCTAATGCGTAGGTCATTCGGACCCTTCGTGCCCTTCCTTCGAGGTGCACACCGGGCAACTGCCAGGCTAGGCCAGACCCTCTATCTTTACGGATTTAGTGTTGCCGAAGGTCATCGTAGATATACAACATTTGTAGCCGTACATTATTCTCGAATCTAGTTCTCTACTGCAAGATATGCCATAGAAACAATCATGGTCAGACTTTATTTCCAATATTTTGAGAGATATGAAATGTTCCTGAAACATCTGCTCCTCTTATATGACTAGCCACGAAAGCAATGAATTTGTTGATGCAATTAGTGTAGTTATATTCTAACTGCAGGTTGTTTTCACAGTGCTCTTTTGATCTCTTTTTCTTCTTTCAGTACAAAAAATGTGATATTCTTCATTTGA